TTTTTGAGTTGTGAGCCTCCCTGAGTCCCTTCAGGGAAAAGGGCAGCATACAAATAAAATTAAACCATAAACCATAAGTGAATCTGGATTTCCCCCATTGACTTTGCTTGTCGGAAGGTCGCAAAAGCAGATCGCGCTACCTAGGGATACTGCAACCGTCACAAGTGTGAGCCAGTTGCCAAGCCTCTGAATTTTGGATCATGCAATCACATCGCAGTGGTCATAAGTGTCACAGATGGTCCTTAAGTCAATTTTTTTTCCCGGCGGCGTTATAACTTACAACGAACTGTTGTAAGTCGAGGATTACCTGCACCGCTCATTTCGATCCCTGGTTTCTTGTCCTGCCTACAGATGCTTTGGTGAATAAGAAGAGGGGGCTAATCGATTCTCCAAAGCACCAGCAGGCAAGACAAAAAAACAATGGATGGAAACTAATCAAGGAGAGAAGCAACCTGAAATTAAGGAGAAATTTCCTAACAGGGAGGACAATTAACCAGTGGAATAGGAGGTTTTTAAGAAGAGAATGGACTGCCCCTCAGGGTTCCAAATAGCATCCAAAAAGTAAATTAGAATCCAAGGCAAAGTATTGCTCAAAGTTCCAATTCATTAAGAGAGACCTGTTGGCACATTTGGGAAAACTCGAATCTGAAAGCTTCCCGGTTTTTCCCACCTAGTTGAAAGTTCAAGATCTTTCTCCCACACCCACAAATCCATCACATAGTCCAATCTTCCAATGCCATGCTGACAGTTCCACACCCATCCAGTTCCGGTCAGGTGCAGAGACAAAGGATGACCTTGGCTTTCTAGAAAGAATTTTTGTCATGGCTACATAGCCATCTCACTCCTTACAATCCCCCCCCCTCGCATTTTCTCACGATAGAACATGCCTAGTAGAACAATAGAAAGTGTGGCAGGCCAAAGATTGAAAAGGAAAAAAAAATGGCTGCAGGCCTGACGCCGCCATCTGTCGGAAATGGTATAGGGCTTCCTTGCTCGAGCAAGGGGGGGTTGGATTGGATGACCTCCGAGGTCCCTTCCAACTCTATTCTGATGGTTTGATTGAACGGCTCGCCTCGAGAAGTTGCGAGTGCTCCGTCACTGGAGGCTTTTAAGAAGAGACTGGATGGCCATCTGTCGGAAACGGCATCGGGTCTCCTGCTTGAACGGGTGGGCTGGACTAGAAGACCTCCAAGGTCCCTTCCAACTCTGTTCTGATCGATTGATTAAAAAAAGTAAAATTAATGAAGAAACCCACTTTTGAGCCACAGGATTGGTGACTGGCTGAAGTGAGGAGACGGGAGAATGCTTAGCCATGCAGGGTGTTTGGCTACTTAGACACTAGATATCTCATTTTTCTTTTTTTTCCCCTCGAGGTGTTTAAGAGCAGCTGGTCGGCTGCGATTAAATCCCAGAGAAAACCTTCTAGTTAAGAAAAGGGAGATGTGCTTGCTATCTCTCTGACAGGCTCGCTTTCTACCTGCAGGGAGCTGGCTTCCCTACCACGAAAACCCAGAGAGTTTTGAGATGCCCTCGTCCTGTCCCCGTTGTTGTCCCGAGGCGCTGGAATCTTCTTTTAAGATTGCTTTCGTTTGCACATCCTGGCGGGCCCTCGCATGAAACGACGGACTTTGGGAGAATGACGGCTGCTTCCCCCTGCTCCTCCTGTCTCTCTGTGATCTCCCCCACCTTCCTCTTCCTCTCCTGCTTCCCTCTCTCCCTCCCTCTGTGAAATGCTCCCTCGCAGTGAACACCCCCTCCTAGCCTGCTTTCTGTGTCCTTCCTTTGAGCCCCTTGGCATTGCGTTGCACCGAGATCCGCAGGCCAAATAATTGCAGACTTTCACCGCCATGCCTCCGGTTCCCCCTGTTCTCATCCCCAGGCGCTTTTGTTCTTCCCACCTCTTGCCGCCACCGCCGGCGGGCCTCAATACTTGCCTTGAGATGTGTCTCCCTCCCGTTTGGGTACTAGAGCGGTCCGCAAAATGCCTCAATTCCTGGTCATTTCACCCAAATTGTCGGCGAGAGATGGAGGTGGAGGACTCTTTCCAGCTTGAATAGGGTGTCCCGCGCCCTTCTCTAACCACTCTACCTGCTTTTCCGATGCAGATCTTGGCAAGCCGAGTCCCTGTTTGAGCGTCGAGTGCCAATTCGGGGCCACCTGCGTGGTGAAGAACCAGGAGGCGGTTTGCGAGTGCCAGCAAGTGTGCCACAGCATCTACGATCCAGTCTGCGGCAGCGACAACCTCACCTACAGCAACCCTTGCGAGTTGGATGCCATGGCGTGCGCCCTCCGGAAGGAGATCCGCGTGAAACACAAGGGCCCCTGTGGTGAGTGTGGTTAGATCCCCTGTTGCCTGAAATAGAAATGGAAAATAGAACCTTATCTGGCTTGGAGAGCTGCCAGGACGATCTCTACAAAACCTGGCAAGGAGTCTCGGAGAGTCACGAATCAATTGAGCGAACGAATGGTCTCCTGCATACTCCACTCCCCTGTCGCTCCTCTTTTATTCTCTCTGGGAGGGGCCATTCATCGTCCAATAGTGGCCTTACTCCCATGTCGACCCCAGTTCTTTAGCTGTTCCCTTCGTCTGGCAACTCTGTACATGTGCACACTGGGAACAGGCTCCAGCTGTTCTTCTGCTTCACTGATGTTTGACTCCGAAGGCAGCTGATAACTGGCCCCCCTCTCTGTCTCCAAGACAGAGCCCTCATCAGAGCCTTCCCCAGACTCCAGGACTGTCCCATCTTCCTCCCCAACCTCCTCACTGTCCGAATCTGCTGACAGTTCCTCTGGCGGGCCACAACACATCCCAAACTGTTTTGAGGACCGCTGCAGTCTAAAAAAGCAGCTGGGATGCGGTTAAGCCGAATTAACAACCCATTGTGGGTCAGGCCTCTGGTGCTGCCAGGAGGGGGGGTCTTAATTTGCGGGTAACCTCTGGACCCCAAAGCCCCAGTTTCAAATCCCCTCTCACCACCTCTCCGAGCCTAGCTCCAGGCCTTCTCCGGCAGCCGCGGTAAAACCTTCGCTTGAAAAAAATTATTACGAGAGATTAAACCGAGCGCCGGCAAACGAGGTCGCTCAGTCCCACCGGCTGAATTACAACCTCGAGATGGACGCGTAAGCAATTAGCTCGGGAAGTTGAGCGCCAAAAAAAAAGTCCCCCGCTATCTAAGGAGCTTACAGTCTTGAATTCAATTTATTTGGGGGGCCACGGGACAGCCAGCGAGGTTATGGGGCAAGCCGAGACCCCAGAGATAAGGACGAGATCAAGGTTCATTTCGGTTTCTTGTTCCCCTGCCTGCTCAGAGGAGGACGTGGGGGCTTCCCCGGAGAAGGTGGGTTAATTTGGCATGCGGCAACCCTCCTCCCCTGTCTTTGTGCCGAGCCTGTCTTGAGGACTAGAAACCCGCTGCTTCCTTCAGGGCGCTGGGGCTGATTTCTCCCTTGGCTGTCCTTCGCATGTCTCCCTGTTGAAAGGAGGAGGAGTGGAGGGTTCGAGGCTTGCCCGGGGTGGGGGTGGGGAATTACGGCTCCACCGGAACGCAGCCGCTCTCCACGACTTGTCAAGTCAGACGATTTGGTGCGTCGGAATTTGGGGATTTCTTTTTGGGGTTTTTTAAAAAAATAAAATAAAATGCGAACGCGTCCCGTACCGCCCGCCAGAGGGGAAGTTAGCCGCGCTTGCTTTTAGCAGGTGGCCGAAGGGGTTTTAAAAACTCCTGCCTAACGCTCGGCTGTGCTTTCAAATGGCTGGGATTTGTTTTTAGTGGTTTCTTTTGAATACTCTGATCAGTTTATGGCACTTCATAGTCCTGTTGTTGTTGTTGTTATGAATTTCCTCGGGAGCCGGAATGGACAGCTTGAACGGGAGAGGAATTCTTTGCTCTCTCCCGTCCTGTAGATGGTAATTTTTAAACTCTAACTCTGGCCTTCCTCCCTCCCTCCCTCCTTCTCTTCCTTCCCTTCATCTTCCTTCCTTCCTTTTCTTTATCTTACTTCTTTTTCTTTATCTTCCTTGCTCCCTCCCTCCCTCTTTCCTTCTTTTCCTTCATCTTCCTTCCTTCCTTTCCTTCATCTTCCTTCTTCCTTTCCTTCCTTCTTTTCCTTCATCTTCCTCCCTACCTCCTTTCTTCCTTTCCTTCATCTTCCTTCCTGCCTCCCTCCTCCCTACCTCCCTCCTTTCTTCCTCCCTCCTTCCTCCCTTCCTTCCCTTCATCTTCTTCCTTCCCTCCTTCCTTTCTCCCCCCTCTCTCCTTCCTTCCTGCCTTCCTTCATCTTTCTTTTTTCTTTCTTTCTTTCTTTCTTTCTTTCTTTTTCTCTCCCTTCCTCTCTCTTTTCTTTCTCTCTTTTCTTTCTCCCTCCTTCCTTTCTCTCTTCCTCCTTCCTTCCATCCTTTTCTTCATCTTCCTTCCCCCCTCCTCCTTCCCTTCATCTTCCTTCCTTCCCTCCTTCCTTTCTCCCCCCTCTCTCCTTCCTTCCTGCCTTCCTTCATCTTTCTTTTTTCTTTCTTTCTTTCTTTCTTTTTCTCTCCCTTCCTCTCTCTTTTCTTTCTCTCTTTTCTTTCTCCCTCCTTCCTTTCTCTCTTCCTCCTTC